CTTGTATCACGCGACTTTCGCTCTACCCTGCACTCTACAAGTGTTTGTTCACCCGGGAATACCGTGTCACAATAGAAATCTTCTATCACGTGACTTTCGCTCTACCCTGCACTCTACAAGTGTTTGTTCACCCGGGAATACCGTGTCACAATAGAAATCTTGTATCACGCGACTTTCGCTCTACCCTGCACTCTACAAGTGTTTGTTCACCCGGGAATACCGTGTCACAATAGAAATCTTGTATCACGTGACTTTCGCTCTAACCTGAACTCTACAAGTGTTTGTACACCCGGGAATACCGTGTCACAATAGAAATCTTGTATCAAGTGACTTTCGCTCTACACTGCACTCTACAAGTGTTTGTTCACCCGAAATACCGTGTCACAATAGAAATCTTGTATCACGTGACTTTCGCTCTACCCTGAACTCTACAAGTGTTTGTACACCCGGGAATACCGTGTCACAATAGAAATCTTGTATGAAGTGACTTTCGCTCTACCCTGCACTCTACAAGTGTTTGTTCACCCGGGAATACCGTGTCACAATAGAAATCTTGTATCACGTGACTTTCGCTCTACCCTGCACTCTACAAGTGTTTGTTCACCCGGGAAAACCGTGTCACAATGGAAATCTTGTATCACGCGACTTTCGCTCTACCCTGCACTCTACAAGTGTTTGTTCACCCGGGAATACCGTGTCACAATAGAAATCTTGTATCACGCGACTTTCGCTCTACCCTGCACTCTACAAGTGTTTGTTCACCCGGGAATACCGTGTCACAATAGAAATCTTGTATCACGTGACTTTCGCTCTACCCTGCACTCTACAAGTGTTTGTTCACCCGGGAATACCGTGTCACAATAGAAATCTTGTATCAAGTGACTTTCGCTCTACCTTGAACTCTACAAGTGTTTGTTCATCCGGGAATACCGTGTCACAATAGAAATCTTGTATCACGTGACTTTCGCTGTACCCTGCACTCTACAAGTGTTTGTTCACCCGGGAATACCGTGTCACAATAGAAATCTTCTATCACGCGACTTTCGCTCTACCCTGCACTCTACAAGTGTTTGTACACCCGGGAATACCGTGTCACAATAGAAATTGTGTATCACGCGACTTACGCTCTACCCTGCACTCTACAAGTGTTTGTACACCCGGGAATACCGTGTCCCAATAGAAATCTTGTATCACGTGACTTTCGCTCTACCCTGCACTCTACAAGTGTTTGTTCACCCGGGAATACCGTGTCACAATAGAAATCTTGTGTCAAGTGACTTTCGCTCTACCCTGAACTCTACAAGTGTTTGCTCACCCGGGAATACCGTGTCACAATAGAAATCTTGTATCACGCGACTTTCGCTCTACCCTGCACTCTACAAGTGTTTGTTCACCCGGGAATACCGTGTCACAATAGAAATCTTGTATCAAGTGACTTTCGCTCTGCCCTGCACTCTACAAGTGTTTGTTCACCCGGGAATACCGTGTCACAATAGAAATCTTGTATCAAGTGACTTTCGCTCTACCCTGAACTCTACAAGTGTTTGTACACCCGGGAATACCGTGTCACAATAGAAATCGTGTATCACGCGACTTTCGCTCTGCCCTGCACTCTACAAGTGTTTGTTCACCCGGGAATACCGTGTCACAATAGAAATATTGTATCAAGTGACTTTCGCTCTACCCTGAACTCTACAAGTGTTTGTACACCCGGGAATACCGTGTCACAATAGAAATCTTGTATCAAGTGACTTTCGCTCTGCCCTGCACTCTACAAGTGTTTGTTCACCCGGAATACCGTGTCACAATAGAAATATTGTATCAAGTGACTTTCGCTCTACCCTGAACTCTACAAGTGTTTGGTCACCCGGAAATATCGTGTCACAATAAAAATCTTGAATCACGCGTCTTTCGCTCTACCCTGCACTCTACAAGTGTTTGTTCACCCGGGAATACCGTGTCACAATAGACATCTTGTATCACGTTACTTTCGCTCTACCCTGAAATCGACAACTGTTTTTTCACCCGGGAATACAGTGTCACAATAGAAATCTTGTATCAAGTGACTTTCGCTCTACCCTGCACTCTACAAGTGTTTGTTCACCCGGGAATACCATGTCGCAATAGAAATCTTGTATCACGTGACTTTCGCTCTACCCTGAACTCTACAAGTGTTTGTTCACCCGAGAATACCGTGTCACAATAGAAATCTTGTATCACGTGACTTTCGCTCTACCCTGCACTCTACACGTGTTTGTTCACCCGAGAATACCGTGTCACAATAGAAATCTTGTATCACGCGACTTTCGCTCTACCCTGCACTCTACAAGTGTTTGTTCACCCGGGAATACCATGTCGCAATAGAAATCTTGTATCACGTGACTTTCGCTCTACCCTGAACTCTACAAGTGTTTGTTCACCCGAGAATACCGTGTCACAATAGAAATCTTGTATCACGTGACTTTCGCTCTACCCTGCACTCTACACGTGTTTGTTCACCCGAGAATACCGTGTCACAATAGAAATCTTGTATCACGTGACTTTCGCTCTACCCTGAACTCCACAAGTGTTTGTTCACCCGGGAATACCGTGTCACAATAGAAATCTTGTATAACGTGACCTTTGCTGTACCCTGAACTCTACAAGTGTTTGTTCACCCGGGAATACCGTGTCACAATAGAAATCTTGTATCACGCGACTTTCGCTGTACCCTGAACTCTACAAGTGTTTGTTCACTCGGGAATACCGTGTCACAATAGAAATCTTGTATCACGTGACTTTCGCTCTACCCTGCACTCTACACGTGTTTGTTCACCCAAGAATACCGTGTCACAATAGAAATCTTGTATCACGTGACTTTCGCTCTACCCTGAACTCCACAAGTGTTTGTTCACCCGGGAATACCGTGTCACAATAGAAATCCTGTATAACGTGACCTTTGCTGTACCCTGAACTCTACAAGTGTTTGTTCACCCGGGAATACCGTGTCACAATAGAAATCTTGTATCACGCGACTTTCGCTGTACCCTGAACTCTACAAGTGTTTGTTCACCCGGGAACACCGTGTCACAATAGAAATCTTGTATCACGTGACTTTCGCTCTACCCTGCACTCCACAAGTGTTTGTTCACCCGGGAATACCGTGTCACAATAGAAATCTTGTATCACGTGACTTTCGCTCTACCCTGCACTCCACAAGTGTTTGTTCACCCGGGAATACCGTGTCACAATAGGAATCTTGTATCACGTGACTTTCGCTCTACCCTGAACTCCGCAAGTGTTTTTTTCACCCGGGAATACCGTGTCACAATAGAAATCTTGTATCAAGTGACTTTCGCTCTACCCTGAACTCTACAAGTGTTCGTTCACCCGGGAATACCGTGTCACAATAGAAATCTTGTATCACGTGACTTTCGCTCTACCCTGCACTCTGCAAGTGTTTGTTCACCCGGAAATACTGTGTCACAATAGAAATCTTGTATCACGTGACTTTCGCTCTACCCTGAACTCGACAACTGTTTTTTTCAACCGGGAATACCGTGTCACAAAAGAAATCTTGTATCACGTGACTTTCGCTCTACCCTGAACTCTACAAGTGTTTTTAGAGCGCAGCTCTTAGGGGCCCGCTTCCGGCTTGAGCGGCGTCGGCGTCGCCGTCGGCGTCGGCGTCGGCGTAACCGCGCGGTGCATCATGGGAAATGTCCCATAATGCACCGCGCGAGCCCCCCACCGGGGTCACGCGACTTCGTGGGGGGGCACGTGACCCCCCCCCCGAGGTCACGTGACCCCCCGAGGTCACGTGACTCCCCTGAGGTCACGTGACCCCCTCCTCGAGGTCACGTGACCCCCGCCGATGTCGCGTGACCCCCGATGACGTCATCGACACTGATGACGTCATCGACACTGATGACGTCACCGGCATCCACATCGTCATCGTCATCATCACTGATGACGTCACCGGCATCCGCATCGTGATCGTCATCATCACTGATGACATCATCACTGATGACGTCACCGGCATCCGCATCGTCATCGTCATCATCACTGATGACATCATCACTGATGACGATGACGATGCGGATGCCGGTGACGTCATCAGTGATGATGACGATGACGTCATCAGTGATGATGACGATGACGATGTGGATGCCGGTGACGTTAGCGACATCCGCATCTTCATCGTCATCATCACTGATGACGTCATCAGTGACGTCACTGATGTCGTCACCGGCATCCGCATCGTCATCGTCATCATCACTGATGACGTCGTCAGCGACGTCACTGATGACGTCACCGACATTCGCATCGTCATCGTCATCATCACTAGTGAAGTCATCAGTAACGTCACTAATGACGTCTTCGGTACCCGCATCGTCATCGTCACTGATGACATCATCAGTGACCTCAGTGATGACATCATCGGCATTGGGGGTCACGTGACCACCAAGGTCACGTGACCCCCCAAGGTCACGTGACCCCCCCCCTGGTTAGTCTAACCCCCCCCCCAGCGCCCTTCCCTCCTCCTCCTCAAGAGCTGCGCTCTAATTCGGCGTTACAGGGAGTTGTAAGCGGCTTTCACTTTTTTTCACCCGGGAATACGGCGTCACAATAGAAATCTTGTATCACGTGACTTTCGCTCTACCCTGAGCTCTACAAGTGTTTTTTCACCCAGGAATACCGTGTCACAATAGAAATCTTGTATCGCCTGACTTTCGCTGTACGCTGCACTCTACAAGTGTTTTAATTGCCCAAATAAGTTTTATTCGTTTTGCAATGGTACTTAATTTTATCTATTAGCAATGTTTTTGCGAGTGCTTATGACATGGGCATTTTTGTCAGATTAAGTATACGCATGCACGTGCTTTCCGCAAATTATGCATACGTTTGTAATACGACGCACTACTTTAGCAACCTTAAGCGCTTTGCGAAAATAGTGTTGAGTTTAGAGGCTATATATATATTATCTTTACTCTTTCAGTGGGACGTTGCCATTGAGCAAAATGCAGCTTGTAGTTCTCGCCGTTGTGCTTATTCTACCGTCTTTTCTAAGCGGTAAGTTTCATTTTAAATATATATATATAAATCGAACAAATACAAAAGACAAAAGTATGCAGGCTAAATAAAAACAGAAATAATAAACAGGGACGAACAGAACAACACCTATGTTTATTCTTTCTGTTTTTATATAACTTCACCAACGCGCTCACGTCGAATTGTGCAGGCTAGTTGTTTAACAAACGCCATAACCTAACCCAGAGACACCAAGGAAAAACTAACAGGCAAAAACTAACAAGCTTAGACAAAAGGAACGTTCAACAGAGAGAGGAAACTCAGATGACTCGGACAAGCAAAACATCATAAATTCAGATCCACAATAAAAGAACTAATAATAAATGGACAAAATCAAGGAAAATAAAACCAGAGTCACCCAAAGCGACAAAACAACACACATTCCTTCCTTTCAACCGGTAAAACACGGCAGAGAAAGCGAAATCGCGGGACAATGATTACAAATGAATAACACTCAAAGTCAGCCATTCGCCCATGAAACAAAGAGAAACAATTACTTCTTTCTTAGCTCGCAAAAAAAAAAGTTAATAGAGGTGGCGCCTCAAAAAAAAAAATGAAAGAAATTAACCAGTCCCTTTTAAAACGCCAAAAAATAATCAAATTTTATGTCTCTGCTACTTGTACAGACATACTTATCCCTATAATGGCAATAATATGAGCTTGGTTTTTTAGAAGGTTGGGTATTTGAAATTCTATAGATCGCCGCACGCATAACAGTTTGATCATCCGGATCCAATCTGCATCCTCAGTCTTTGTAGCCGCTTCAGAACCGCATCCTCAAAATTCGAAACCACATCTGACCCTTAATTTGCACATTCGGTTTACACCATGAGATCAAGAAATCCAAGCGGAAAGTGGCTGCTTCTACTTCCTTGTGGCTTGTACGTTTGCGGTTCTCTTTGCCTCCAAAACATTTTTCCCTCATTCCCTGTCAAAACAAGAACATGCTTTGCCAGGACGATTGATGTCCCTGCATTCGTACTTTTTTTTAAGAAAACCCCATTTGTCGAGATGGAACGCTCTAAAGCCAAATTAGGTGAGACCAGGTCTTGGCGTAAAACCCAATTTCCCTCCGATTAGTGCCTTTTTTTTTCTAATACATCAACTTGCTCCTGCACAACACTAGAGAATGCCCATCCTACTATCACTCACTCATTCACTCTACACTTTGTGACTGCACAGCAATTATGGGCTGCCTTGGCAAAAATGTTGATACGGATTAGCGGATATCCACATCCGATCAGCATCCGCAGCCTTTGGCACCCGTATCCGATCCGTAATCCGACCAATCTGATTCAATTTTATCCGCATCCACCAGTTGACTGCAGATTTCTACGGACGATTCGGGGGTAATCAGCGGATAGGCAAAACTCTAATAATCTCATTTTAGTGTGTCCTTGCTAGTTCAAGATACTTCAGATACTTCCAAGATACTTCAGAAAGAAGCGATGACACTTATCGACATCATCAGATAGTTTATACAGATGTACCAGTCTGGAAATCTTCTGTTTAAAATATTTGTTTTGATCACCTTAAGTCAATGTTATCTCATGTTAATCAGAATTCTGACAGGAACGTTTATATTCCCATCAAAATGTCGTTTTACATATCATAATTAACGTGGAGGCAAATAATAATAAAATAGAGTAACCCTTTTTTTGAACGCGCACTGGGGTCAGTCGAGGCACTCTGGTGATAATTGCTATTTTACTTAAAATAGTCCGAAAGATATACTAAGAGTGATCACAAGTTTTGCCTCCTAGGCTGTAAAATTTTTTATTCAGTGATGAATCTGATATATAACATTTAAACCAAACATTGGAAAATCCTTTTTCCAGAAGCACATAACTTTTCAGTAAAGTTCGGCACCTGCGGCGATGCACTTCCACTACCGGTGCACTAGTCTCCGAATGCCGTCCTAAAGAAAATGAAGAAGAAGATAAAAGCAGGAGGAGAAAACAGACAGTAAGCTACGAGGTCTGCCTCGGTTGGCTATTCTGAGGTGGGGAAGGGGGTGGAGAAATGAAAGTAGGAGGAAAGGAAGAGAGGGGAGGAGACATGACTGGGTCTAGCCAATACACGGGTTAACAATAAGCGCAGTATCGTGCGGGCAAAGAATCATGACAGTCGTACTATCGAAAATGGCACAAAAACTCAAGGCACTGAAAGTACGTTGTTTGCATGGTACAAATGTTCGTCTAAAGTACGAGAGCTATATGCACCAGCGTGAAGTTCAGTTAACGTGCTTAGAAGAATTATTTGGCTGTGTAATGCCCGTGTCCCATTAGAGCGACAGACAGAGACAAAGGCAGCGACAAGCCTCAAAACCATGCAGCATGCTCGCGATGGCACCTTTGGCATGCGTTCAGTCGTTCGGTGCTCGCGAAGTGAGCACGAGCGATTCCAAGCCTGCCAAAGATACCTTCGCGTGCATGATGCTCGTGTTTGAGCATAGCCTCCTTTACACTACAAAGCCTCTCAAATGGCGAAAGACCCTGGTTTGAGGCTTGTTGTTGTCTTTTGTTTCTGTCTGTCGCTCTAGTGGGACACGGGTATAACACGAAAGCGCACGACACTACACTGTTAGCAAAAATAACACGCCCAGACGTGTAAACCGTTGTCCCATAGCGGACACGTCGAAACGTGTTCGTTTTACACGAGGCCATCGGTGTTTTTCGTCTACACATGAGGTGCTGTGTAAACTTAACACGCTACACCGTGTCTACCTTCCGCAAAACCGTTTCGAGCGTGTTCCTTATGAAACATGGCGGCCAGCGGCCGAGAACAGGCGAGAGACGAGCCCAGCGAGCCGCGCGCCTTTCAGCCGAATTGAAAGCACACAGGGCGCGTTAGTTCTCGTTCGATGTCTTTTATACACAGTAAAGTCTACAAGCGGCGGACGTAGCTACTTGCAAAGGTACAGTCGGGAGCAAAAGTTTGCGGGGCACGGGAGCGCGTGCCGAAATGCATCGCCGCGCCGTCCGACGGCGCGCCGCCGCATTAAAGAGACGCGCTTTGCGCATGCGCGCCTTTCGTGTTCGCATTCATGTCTCTTTCGCTCGTTTCTTTACGACGCACTCCTCATAACAGGAGTCGGCGCCAGGGGCGCGAGTTAGTGCTTCGCTAGTTGTCATGCTGCGCGTCTGCTTCAGCCGCCGCGCTTTGTCACGGAGCTCGCGTAGGGAAGGGGGGAGGGGGTTAACCAGGCGCTCCGTCACCCAGCGCGGCTGCTGTGGCGGCTGAAGAGGACGCCAGGCATGACAGCCAGCGAAACGGCAACTTGCGCCCCTGGCGCCGACTCCGGTTATCAGGAGTGAGTCGGACAGAAACGAGCGAAAGAGACATGACTGCCAGCACGAAGGGCGCGCATGCGCAAAGCGCAGCTTTTTAATGCGGCGGCGCGCCGTTGCACGGCGCGGCGATGCATTTCGGCACGCGCTCCGGTGCCCCGCAAACTTTTGCTCCCGACTGTACGTACATACGTGCGTTGTCGGCGGTCGGCGGCGTCGGTAGCTTCAACAAGCCGCTAGACACGAATGCCGAACTCGCATGGATAAATATCTGGAGCAAACTATTTAGAATCGGGCGGTAATTTGCGCCACCTATCGAGATTTCTAGCGGCCTGTTTTTAAAAAAAAGACGAGTCTGTTAGCACTGCGAACGACCTCGACTGCACAGCAACCCTACATACAACGCAGGCAACACAGCACCGACATGTACACAAACACAACAACGACACTACGCCCGACACTTCCTACTCTATATCGCTTTCTCCCCGCGGCGCATATAAGCTTGACATGTGCGGGTGAGCTCTTTGGTCGCTGACCATTACAGATTTATAGAAGAATACACAAAACACGGCGCAATGGACAGCCGTGTATTAGAACTGTTTGCATTTAAAAAGTATGGAGGCAGAATCTATAATGTTAGTCCGTTGCACTTAATAACGATATGTTAACAATAAATCTTAAACCGGTCATGAAAAAGTTCAAATTTTTGTTATTTTCTTGCTTGACCAGTGTTATGAACAGTCCGACTAGCTTGAATCAGATAGGAAAACAAATTATTGGGATTTCGTCATTACGTATACAATAATAAATGAAAATGATCCTTGCGCAAAGCATTTTTTATATATTTTTGTGAAGGACATCCGCCCAACACGTCACTTCCGCTAGTTGCAGCAGTTGCAGTACGGGAGCAGACGCCTTCACTTTTGGGGCGTTTTGATGCAGTTTGTTGTCGTATGTCGTGTCGGTGTCGAGAAGAGCGGTGGGGCTTGGGAGTTTGTGACCGGTGTTATTCGTGAACACTGGTGTGGGGCGCTGATGCGTCTTTTTTTTATACTGCCACCACCCCGAACTTTGAAGATACACGGGCCCGTAGCAGTGCATTATGCTGAATCGCGAGCTCCTTCTCTGTTGACGTCGCTTTCCAGGTACCACTCGTGGATACTCTGAAGCATTTAAACAGTGTGCACCGTCTCGCCTACATCCCCAGTGACGTACTCGACCTGTTGAAACTTATTGCTTCCGTCATTTTAGAGTACGCAAGGCAGTTATCTCATTGGTCTGGTTTCGGTTATAAAAGCAAGGCAAAACGCTCGTAGTTCCCGCCCTCAGTACACGTTGGACATCTTCCACACTTTGACACCGGATAACTGAATGAACGAGGATTTGCATTCACTTCCGAGGTTACTCTCGCCGCTTCCTCACCGTTGAGCAGCAGAATGAGCTGGCGACAAGCCGCGGATGAAAGGCTTGAGCATCAACAGCCCAAGCGCACTCGGTGCCGATGCGGGCGACGCGGGTTTCTGTCAACCGGGAGGCCAGCACAAACCGTGACCATTCCAGCTCTTCGTCATGACACGGTGTTGCAGAGAGCAGGGTAAAATACAGCTACACGGATCACCGAAGCAAACGACTGCTATCTTAAATCTTGGCTTGTGATTACGCCTTTGTAGTAGATCATCTTATTCGTTTTGC